CCGAGGGTTGCGATCCCGTTGCCGGTCCCGGTCCGGTACGGGGGCAACACTGAGGGTTGCGATCCGTTGCCGGACACGGAAAAAGACAAAAGACAAAAAAAAAAGTGAATTAAAAAGTATCATTCTGGGGCCGAGCCCGTGGCGCACTTGGGAGGGTGCGGCGCTGGGAGCGCAGCGACGCTCCTGCCGCGGGTTCGGATCCTATATAGGGATGACCGGTGCACTCACAGCGCTCACTGGCTGAGCGTGGTGCGGCCAGTCTCAAAAAGGACAAAAAAAAAAAAAGTATCATTCTGGATAGCAAGAACAGTTTCTGTATTTTTCTCTAAAGATGCCTCTCTTTTTCCTTATATGTAGTCTCACAGGTTATTGGCCTTTTATCAAAATGACCCTGATAGGCTTTAGACCTTAAAAACAGTTTTGGCTACCAGGATTCTAAAAGACATACAGGTTGTAATCTAAGGACTGCATATTCTTTCCTCTAATTTACAATCTTCTGCCCTAGCTTTTTAAAATATATAAGTAGATTTAACTTTCTTTTTTACCAATCATTTTTAATAATTCATATTATCATCTCTAACTTTTGCTCCTCATTTTAACAATACCATTATTAGGCAGGTCCTTTATATAGGAACAAGTAATGAAATAGGATGAGAAGCATTAAATATAATAACAGGATTGTATATTTACAGTGAAAAACCATTGTAAAGTGGGGAGCTACTGTGCCCACTCCTCCCTTTGCTCCCCTACTTGAGTATTAGTCCCTGTGCATTGATTCTTGGAATCAGCTTTTCTACATGGAATTCTGGTTCTTTTCTTTTCAGTGGAGAATGGCATTGAGAAATCAATTATGGGTGCTAGTTGTGCTCATACTGAGCACTGATACTCCAGTAGCAGTGAGTATACCTAGTACCCATAACTTGGTTTTTAAGTAGCATTCTCCTGATTCCAGGAGTAAAAGTAAAAGATGAGCCTTGAATAAATATCTTGTGCCAGAGAATAAGGAACTGCTCGAAAAATGATGGGGACATGTCAAAAGGACATAAAAGCTAGCTTTGAAGTTACTTCTGGCCAAATCTGGAACACTTTTAGCATTAAAATAAGTGATAGCAATGGATTATAACCACTAAATAAAATAAGAAACCATGAGTCTATAGTGATATAAATAAATCAGTGAATAAATGGAAAGTTTTATGAGGAATGAGATAATTACATAGTCTCAAAGTTCCTCTGCACAAAATACTTATTAATTACAGAGGGAATAAAGGGTACCTGTATTGTGGAGAAACCCACAGACATTACCTTAAATAATCAAAGTTAATTGCTGATGGGACAAGTCAAAATTATTTGCCACCTAATAGGATGTCGTGAGAAGAACACAGTGTCACTTCTATGATATTGCTGCCAAAAATGTATCATCTAAATTTAATTGTGAGGAAACATCAGTGAAACCCAAACTTGTGAAACATTCTACAGAATAACTGGCTTGTAGCATTCAAAAGTATCAAGACCTTGAAAATCAAGGAAAGACTGAAATAATTGTTTTAGCTTGAAGGAGACTAAAGATACATGGCAACTATATGGACCCATGATACTAAACTGCATCCCCGTAGGACATTATTGGGACAATTCGTGAAACTTGAATGAGGTCTGAGTATTAGATGCTCAATTGGTCCAGAGAAAGAAAAAGTTCCTTTTACTTTACCTGCAACTTTTCTGTAAGTTTGAGAGAGCCTTAGAAAGAAAGTTTTGACATATAGGTCTTGTATATTATAAAAGTTTTTATTTTCAGGGCTGTTGCAAAGAAGGTTCATAGTACAATCCAGAAAATTAAGAAGGAGGGGAAGATGTCTGAGTGCTTGTTAAAAGCCTTGCTGAATTGTAAAACTTTCGAAGAACTAGAACATGTGGTAAGGAACCCTTTTTATCTTTTAACGTAATGCCTGAATATATTATAATTTGGGTTTTTTAATAGTTAAAGAACACCGAAAAATACAAAGCTAAAGTCATTTCCTACCATTGTTTAATTCAACAAAACATTTATTTTTTATTCAATAAATATTTATAGAGTGCTTTTTTTGTGCTAGGCACTTGGGTTTGCAAAGATGAATTATACGTAGTCGTTGTCCTCAGGGAATTCCCAGTTGAGTGGGGAAGCAGAGTAGATTATACAATTTTGATTATACAAATTTGAAACCATGAGGATAGAAGAACTCACTCAACAAAAGTTTTTGGGGTGAGCAGGTCAGGATTGACTACTGGGGAACACCAGCGTTTGAAGTGTGGGTGGAAGAAGGGAGAGCTTAAGAAGACATGGAAAAAATGGTCAGAAAAGTATGAGGAGAATCAGGAGATGATGATGCCATGTAAGAGTAGGGAAGAGAGTTTTAGAAGGAGTCAATGATCAATAGTTAAATATAGCAGGGAGGTTTGGCAAGATAAAGACTAAAAAAATGTATACGTATTTATTTGGTAGTTAGGGGATCGTCATGGATCTTTGTGATACCAATTTCAGCAGGTTGTGTGGGAAGAGAAGCTAGGTAGTGTTGGGTTGAGGAGTGGATGTGGATTAAGAAGTAGAGCATTGTGTATAGACAACTTCTAGAGGAGCTTACTGGTGTTGAGGAAAGGACCTTGTCCAGTCAAGAGTTAAATGAGTGAAACCAAACAAATAACCTATTAAGCATACAGAAAAGTGTAAAGAATTAGATAAGGCACACACCATCTTTGTACAGTATTATCTAGTTAGTATTAATTCATTTCTGAAGGAAGAGGAAATGGTTGAGAAAAGTGTTTAGCATTCTTGCCGTGTCCTGTAATTTTATATCCTAGTTTTAACTTTTGCTTTTTAAAACTGAATCATGTGTTTTCTGCCTTTTTTTTCTAGTCTGCTCCATATAAAACTGGGAGCAAGGGCACCAAAGCCCAGAGAGCAAAACAGTTGGGATTAGAAGGAGCAGCCAGGACACTACTTGAGAATCCAGGGGAGCTCAATCTGCTATCTTACATTAAAACTGATGTTAAAGGTACCAGCTTTACTTAAAGTGATTATCTCTGGTTTTTTATTTTTTAATTTGAAAAATCATGTTGAAAAAAATGTTTCATTAAGTAATGACTATACAAAAGAATATTATAGCATATAAAGAATAAATACTGTAATTCTAATAAAACAAATCCTGACATACCTTTTGCTTAGACATTTAGCTTTCTTCTTTTTATGAAATGCCTGTTCTAGTCTTCTGCCCATTTTTCCATTGTGTTGTTTCTCTTTTTCTTATGAATTTGTAATTATTTTTTAGATATTGTTTATCACATGTATGTGTTGCAAATCTTTTCTCCCAACTTGTAACTTATATTTTCACTTTATGCCATCTCTTGGTAAGTAGAAGGTCTTAGTTTTATTGAAGTTAATTTATTAAGCTTTTCTTTTAAGATAATTGCTTTTTTTTTCTTTTTAAAGAAATCCCATCATATCCCAAGATTATAAAGATTCTCATGTATTGTCTTTTAAAACTTTTATTCTATTTCTAAAAATTTTTTTAATTATGAAAGTTACATCTACTCTTTAAAAAGAATTTCAACAATTCTGACATGCACGAAGTGTAAAGAGAAGCTCCACTTATACTTCTACACTGTAGGAGTAAAGTGACTTTTTCTGAAATTTACTTCCAAGTGTATTTTCCTGTCCTTTTGTGTGTGTGCATGCACAAGACAGAGAATGAGAGAGGGAGGGAGTAAAGGAGAGATATTTCTAAGAAAAACCCAAAGATAATGGCAATTGATGCAAGTCAGGATGCATTGGTTTTATTATCAAAATGAGCCTTAGTGTGAAAACTTTCTGGGTAAGAGTGGTTTTTTCTAGGAGTTCTCTCTTAGGATTGAGTGGGGTAGATTGATGCTCTGGTAATCCCTACTCTTTTTAAAAATTGTTTTTTTTTTATGTTTTTAAAAATTATATATATTTAAGGTGTACAGCATGGTATTTAGTTATACATAGCAAAATGAGTACCACAGTCAAGCAACACTGTATGTGATAATCAAGCAAATTAACATATCCATCATCTCACAGAGTTACCGTTTTTGTTTTTGGGGGGTAAGAGCTCCTAAAATCTACACTCTTACAAATTTCCAATGTACAGTACAATATTATTAAGTGTAATCTACCCTGTAAGTTAGATCTCTAGTTCTTATTTAGCCTACAGAACTGCAACTTTGTACTCTGTGACCTGCATCTCCCCATCCCCTACTGTAGTTTCTTTTGGCATTCTGTTGATTCTTTAGGCTGGGAGATGTAATGTCTGTAGGGGGCAGTCTCTGATAACAAAATCCACCGTATGTGCTAAACTGTAGAAAACCATAGCATACCATAGCCTGTTTTTGTTTTAAATGATCCAGCAAATGTGAATTTGTGATTAAAAAAATTGAGTGTGTGTCTGTAAAATACAAATGTTTGTTCATGCACAAACATACACATCTTAATATGTTTGGAAAAGAGCAATAATGAAAAGACAAAACAAAATAGGATTTTTTGAATTTAGAGATGGGTTGAAATGAGTAAAATTTAAATTTTTAAATTTTTTAATGTGTATTTATAGTTAGATTTTCAAATGGTTGCCACATTTAATATTTTAATGACCAAGCATTAAGGTTAACTACAGTGGGAACTATCTGTGCCCAGTCATGGTATGTTTTATTAGAATGGAATGTTGGAGCTTTCAGAATGTTAGATTCACAAAGGTTTATTGCCTTTTTTAAAAAAATTTTTTTTCTCCTTATAGTTAATTTCCTTTCCTTTTACTTCCCACCCCCTTTGAATCAAAGGTCTCCTTAGCTCTCAGAAATACTGAGTTTCTACGAGGTGGGTTTTGATAACCATATCTCTTTATAGGATATATGGGATTGTCATATATCGTGATGCTCCTGGAATACATGATGGTGGACACTTTGTGATACTTCTGATAACGTGGATAGCTAAGGGCCCAGCACAGTTACAGTAGGACTAGCAGACGTATCAGGACGTTGTTTGCTTTACTCCGTCTTTCTTTTACCCTGATCACAAATGTAGAAGAATTATAATTAATTCCAAATAAGCTAGGTACTGCTTTTTAAAGTTTGTTTGGAATGTTTTCTCTCTCTCTCTGTCCCCTTATTCTTTATGCTACACAACATACTTGTGATCACCTTCAATTCTATTACTGTTTTTCTAAAGAAGTATTTTTTGTCATTCCCATGATTCCTCAAAGAAATATTTAGGAAACCAGATGTTTCAGTTTTTTGTCTCCCCACCCCCCCAGTAGAAGACACTTATAGCTTTCCGCAGACTAATAAGAATTTGGTTTGAATCAAAAAGCTATGCTTTGCCACAAATGGACTTTGTCCTAGGAGATAGAGAATATCCCTATGTTGTATATAAGGGGGAGTAGCCGATCTGTTGTATGTAAGAAGAGGTAGCATAAGTGCAGATGAAAAGAAATGTTGGCCTTTCAATTTATGTTACAGTTGTGGACGTTTGGAGATTCTGTAGCTGGAAAGATTTCATTATAAGGCAAGGGACATACTTTTCTGGTTCTGTGGACCTTATTTCCTCCTGATTTCACTGAGGCGATAAACTTCTGGAACTCCAGTTATCCTTGGCTGTATTAAGCCCAAAAGATCAATTATCTTTGATGGGGGATGGATTTTTTTTCAAAACACACAAGACTTTCTTTCTCAATTCTTTTTCTCCCTGGTTGGACTAAGAGGGGGTATGTAATTTGATAGAGCTTCCCAAATGACTCCGATAATTTCTGCCTCCCATTGAGAACCACTGCTCTAGAGGTAGCTCAAGGCACCTTCCTAGCAGTGATTTTTTAAATTTAATGAGTATCAGGATCATTTGGGATTCTCTATAAAACAATACAATCCCACAGTCTAGGAATCCATATTTTTAACAAGTTCCTAGTATGATTTTATTTTCAGGTCTTCAAATTCAACTTTACAAAACATTGCTGTAGAGCTCTAGCATAATTTTAATTACATAAGGTTTTCAAATTGTATTCCCCCATATGATGGGGGCTTTTCAAAGGCCTTTGCTGTAGCAAAGTCCATAATTTCTTCTTTCTGTTCTTTGCTTCCTTTAATGCTTCTCATTATAGGTTCCATCTTTATTACCGACTTATCACCCTGGTGCTCTCATTAAATTTTGTGTAATGATGCTCTGAGGTGCTTTGGGGCTCCAGGGATTAGTGCATACTGAATGGTTTTCTTAAATGAAGACTGCTCTAGGGAGATAGCTAACACAAGAGCAAACATTTATTGGGTGCTTACTATGTGCCACAGCTGTTTTAAGTCCTTTACATATACAATCTTCTACCTCATAAAGGTAATTTGTTACTGAAAATTCCCTCATAGGGAAATTCTCTTAAAATGTAAATAGAATTCCTATTAATTTCAAGGGCCAAATTTTTTCTTTAAATTTCTTTAAAATAAATAGAATTACTTCCATAGTCATTAGCTATCATAACACAACCAAACAAGGCACTTTCTCTTTATTAATTATGCCGTAATAAATTTGTTCTCCTGTTCTCTTTGGCTTTTGTCCCTGTTACTCATTAAAACTAAACTCACAGGAAAACACACATATGATATTCGGTGCTTGTGTAATTCAAGCTTTAATGCAAAAAAAAAAAAAAAAAAAAAAAAGAAATGGGATTTGTCTTTCTCTCTCATACAGGGGAAGTTACCTAAAATAA